ATTATAGAGATTCCAATCTAACTGTTTCAAGGAATGAAACGACACAAACTAAACACAAATGGAAAAAAAAGCCAGCATCTCGTTTCAAATTATCACTCAGCTGGTTGACAATGGTTAGATAATTCAATTTACAAATCAAGATGTCATAAAGGTGTTAATTTAGTATTCAGTCCATTAACATTCTGTTTCACATTTGACCTGTTTAACGCTACTTTGTCTACATGTGCTGAACATGTGCTGTTTCATCATATATTTTCAACTGGTTAATTAAATCTAAGCAATAAAATATTGTCATTTTTGGATTCAAGCAAAAATAAATGTTTCTAAACAATGCAATTTGCAAATCCATTAAATCTTCCTTTTACTATGTGTTCCTTCATTGTAATGTTCAATTTTATCTCTGACGGTTGGAATACCAGGAGGAGAATAACGATACTACAGTTCCTTCATGAACTTTGATCAGGCTTTACCTGAAGCCCTGTATTCAGTGTTTGGCACTGTCACGCAGAGGAATATATTACACTTAAAGAGCATATAGATTCACCAAGACATATGGGCTTAAAAATGTTAAATTGAGGACTGGTTGCATAGCTTGATTGTATTCTTTTGAAAACACAAGGTTGAGGGGTGATCCAATTGAGATAGTGGTAATGATCAAAGAATTCAACAGGATAAATAAAGAGAAAGGATCTCCAATGTTGGGGAATCCTGAACTGGGGGCAATCTTAAAATAACACAATTAACATTCAGGACTAAAATAAGGAAATCCATTTTCTGGTAAAAGGGTATTTAAAATCCTCAAGCTTCGTCAATAGACATTTTAACTGAGATCCATAGACTTTCATTGTGAAAGGTTATCAAAGGATTATAGAACGAAAACAAGTAAATTAATTTAAGTTACTGACCAGCTAAGGTTTAACTGAATGGCAGCAAAGGCTCAAGGGAATGAATGGCCTACTCCTGTTCCACTTTTCCTCCTTGAGTAATTTAATAGTGATAATGCTGAAGTCAAGGACAGCAACTAGCCCACAGGGGTTTCATGACATTCTTAAAAGGAAAGGCATAAGAATCATAAATTACAGTAAGAATATTTTCAGAATTATAGACATGTAATGTGATAAAGTACAAGTGAGAGTTAAGGTCTGAAATTATGCGGGTCATAAGACCAGAGTTTTACCATGTTTAGTAATGATTTTGCCAAGATTTATCAAGAGATGGATCAAAGTCAGTAAGGCCAGATTGTGGTAGTGAACAGCTAATTTAGATGAATGTTCAGAGATAGTGGTCACCCTGTAAATGGAAGTAATGCCTTCAGCAATATGCACATCTCATGTGCATCCGCTCACAAATGTGCAGTAGGATATATAGCACAGCAGCTGGAGAACATAAATTGCTCCTCACCAAGGCACATTTGGGATCTGGACAGTGGAGCTGCAGAAAGTGGATAGGCAGGTGTTGTATGTCCAACATTTGCACAAGAACATTTTTTAAAATTTGTAACGGGATGAGGGCGTCGCTGGCTTGGCAGCATTTATTGTCCACCTCTAATCGCCCAGAGGGCAGTTCAGAGTCAACCACATTGCTGTGGGTCTGGAGTCACATGTAGGCCAGACCAGGTAAGGATGGCAGTTTCCTTCCCTAAAGGACATTAGTGAACATGCCAGTAAAAGAAAATCAGGCTGCACAGGCAGATACGCAGGGTGGTAACATCACCTCAGAATTGTGACAAATGACAGATTGTCTGTCATAAATGGAGGCTAGTGAGAATAAAGTGAGGGCAAAAGGGTCTGATCATAACTGTTGGGGGCAACAGTGAAGAGGTGGCAAGAAAAGGATGAGCTGAGAGGAAGGTGATGGGAAATGGATCCTTTGCTTGAGAAAAGGGCAAATATTTCAAAATTGCTAGCATGCATTTTCTTTCCCTTTGAGGGTTCAGTGTTGCTGAAACTTTCTCCATTTCTAATTCTATAATTTACCTCAGGCATTCACAACATCTTATTTCCATCAGAATACCTCATATTGTCTTATACTATAATAATTAATATTAATCTATGAAGTGTTTTTCCATATGTAATTTCATTTCCTTTCTTATGCCAATGACCTTTTATTGCTCCTGTACATGTCACTCATTTGTTTCTTTAATGCCTTTATTCACTGATCGACCAAAATGATCCATGACATTATTCCACTTAAGACCCCTGTTAGGGATTCCCAGGCTGCTTTTTCTAGAATATATAGATTCCACTTCTCTCACTATAGTCATATTAATACACCCATCAGTTGTCTCTTCCCTGCATAGATGCTACCCAACTTTGAGTGGTTACAATGTTTCCTATTTTTTACACAGCAGCAATATGTGTGAATACATTCACTGCTGCAATAAAAACACATTGGAAATGTTTTTAGATGGGTGACACTTACTAATTTACATTGACATTTACATGCGAAGGGCAGAAAAAAATTTGAGTTGGTTTTCCCACTGAATGATACTGACAAGCATCATGGAAAATGCTGACAGCAAATTACATTTCATTACCAGGTGCATCCATTATGCAGCAGGAATGCTGTTCACCTGGAAATGTTCTGCTAAATATAAAATCAAAATTTATTCTTATTTTTTCTTTCCAAAATCTGATCAAACACTAGAAAACAACAAGGTTTAACATAAGAATAAATTCCTTCTGTATGAGTGGAAGGATTGACAAATTGATACTGTGACTGTTTCGTTTGGAGCAGGGAACTAATTGGTACAGAACCCCAGTAACAGCCTGCCGATGGAAATTATCAATTGTTTTCAACTGCAGAAACAGCAAGGCATCAAACTGTAGGTGATCACAACCGGCAAGGTCCCATACAGATTCAATTAGTGCTGAAAACCTGGAAGTTAATTTACCTCTCACCAAGGGCAGACCATAATTTATGACTGGAAAGCTTAATTGTCTGGGAGGATGCTTTATTAATATAGACAAAGCTGGTTGATGGGAATGAAAGCTTTAGAGTGGATGAGTGAACTGTTCATGGCACCGTGGAACAGGAAGCCATTCAAGTAGGATGAGCAACAAGGAATCTAGTGGTAACAGGATACAATGCAGTGAGGGGGATTGACACTACTCTCTGCAATGAAGAGTCCAAGCTCAGATGGCTGTGCTGCCTACCCCAGTGCCAGGGTTCAGGACATCAACTCAGGAATTTGCAGTGAGAGAGGGGGAATCTAGTCGTCATGGTCCATGCAGACACCCAAAGCATAGGTAGGACAAAGAAGCATAGTCAATAAGAGGTGCTGGGTGCCAAATTCAGAAGAACATCTAGATTATTATGTAGCCATAAGGAAACTGGCAAAGGGCAAATCAGATTAGTAAGATTAACATGCAGCTCAAAGACTAATGTGGGAGACCTGGGTTTCAGTTTGAGGACACTTGTGCCAGTAAGGAGGAAAGAAAGACCTGTACTGACAGGACAGTCTCCATTTGAACCATGCTGAGGCTAGTGTTCCTCCCAGCTCCATAAATACACAAGAGGATTTTAAACTATCAATAGGGCCAAGGGATAAGACATGGCAGATCAAAGAGTAGAATCAAGAGAGATTTTAATAAGGAAATGATAAACAGACTGTGACAGTAAAGGTTGGAGTGTTCAGGTCCAAGAATAAATCAACAGATAAGATTAGAATTTCCAAAATGAATAAAAAGATGAAAGTAAAGCCTCTGTATCTGAATACACATAGCATTTGGATCAGATGAACTGAGATTGCAAACCGAAATGTACAGCACGGAAACAGTCCCTTCGATCCAACTCATTCATGCCAACCAGATAGCTTAAATTAATTTAGTCCCATTTACCAGCATTTAGCCCATATCCCTATATACCCTTCCTATTCCTATACCCATCAAGACGCCTTTTAAATGTACTAGCCTCCATTACCTCCTTAGCCATTATAGAGACTTAGCTGCAGGTTGTCACAGATTGGGACCTGAATGTTGGAGAGTACAGGACATTTGGGAATGGCATGAAACCCAGAAAAGGTGGCAGGGTTGCTCTGTTAATTTGGTATTAGCACAATAGAAAGCAATGACCAAGCTCAGGAAACCAAGAAGCGAAAACAGTTTGGGTAAAAATGAGAAATGTTAAGGCAAGAAAGTCACTTGTGGGAGTGGTGCACAGGCCCCCTAACAGGAACAACATGGGAAGGTGCAGCACAAAGGAAGCAATACTGAGAACTTGTCAGAAGGACACAATGATAATCATGGGAGATTTGTATCTACAAACAGAAGGGAAAAGTCAGATGGATGAAAGTAGCCTAGATTAGGGGTTCATAGAATGTTTTTGGGATTGTTTCTAACAGTAACATGTCTGGAGCTGACCAGAGTGCAGTGTTTACAGGCCTGATTTTGTGTTACATGATTGAATTAATCATGATCCTGACAACAGGAGAGGATTCATGATGTGTTGTAATTCACAGATTATGGAAACAAGTAAATAAGCACTAAAGAAACTGAGATCCTGTATCATAATAGCATGGGTTTGTGTTTTAGCAGCTAGCCCAAGGAAGCAAGAAAAGCCAAAGGATGGTAAAATGATGGAGTTGAAGAACCTGAGCTAACAACAGAATGTAACTGTGCTGAAAGACAAACAGCATTTTGGGTTTCTGCTCCAAACTTGACCTGAAGTAGCAACTGAGGGTTAAACTGGATAGCAGTACTTTCTATAAACAGAGAAAGCACAATTTCAGCAAATGAGCTCACGTATTCAGTTCTTACCCTCTACATTGTTATAGAAGTGGCAAGTTCGTGTGGAAGTTTTTACTCGACACATGTGGACCTGAAAGAAAAATCACATCTCAAGTTGATTTATTCTGAGCACAAAAATAATGTTTTGAGCACATTCCTGAGTTTTGGGACCTAGCAATTTCTTTTATAGAAAAGCATTTGAAAATTCCATTATATTTCAATGAACTTAGTTTTCCTAACACGTTTACAGGTTCAATTGTTACAATCCAGTGGCTGTGCTGGTTAAGAGCAACTAAATTAACACACAGCAAGACACAAATTGGTGAATTTCTTGATCAGAATAGATCAAATATGCACCGAGCCATCAGAGGACCCTGATGCTTATTAATATCACCAATTTTAAATAGAACAGGAACAGAGAACCCATTAGCTAAATCTAAATGCTAGAATCCTCAGTGGGAAGCTCAAATTTGAATCCCAGTTCTGGATGGTTTTCACTCCCAGCTCTCCTCTGCAGAAGCACTGATGAATGTAATCTAAAATTAGGAAAAAGACAAGAAAATGAAAGAAGCTTTGTAGACCGATTTTGCTGAATCTCCATTTGCTAAAGAATGTCATCCCTATTAGCAAAATGTTAAAAATGCATCCGTGGGCTGGGCAGCACAGAAAATAAGCACACTATTTTAAATCTTTGTTTGAATTTATCCCGTATCCTTACCCTCTGCTAACTTAAGGAACCTACATGCACTGATTATGGGCGTTGCAAGTGATGGTAGAAGATCCAACTTGATTTCCATCATACAGCTGAATAGGAATCTCTCCAGCTCTTCACAAATTACCATGGCACACGTTGGAAGGATTTGTAGGCTGACACTCAACCAGTTTGGCCTCAGTATAAAAACAGCCAAATTATAAATTGTAAATGCACTAGGATGCAACAAAAAAAAGTGCTAAAAGGTCAACAGCGAAGAAATGTAATTAGTTTCCATTGGCATTTGCAAAGAGATTTCAGGCACCCCAATATAAACAGCAACATGACTGACAACACTTCCAGAGAACAGCATTGATCCTCAGATCCTAATGAGACATTTTCTAATGTTAACAGTGTAAAACTCAAAAGATACTGTATATAAAATTGTATACACAGAGTTAAGAATATTATTCCACCATGTTTCCTGCACTTTTCCAATAAGAATAAAGCTTATAGGACTGTTGCTTTTACACTTTGTTAATTGGCTTCAAAGAATGCTATCTACCCATGATGTACCCGACAGAAAAAATGCTTGACATTTCCTGTAATTCTGGATAAAATTTTCATTCTATATATTGTTGGCAATTACTTCAATTATTTCTGATCCACATTAAAACATTTGATAAATAAATGTACTGCTATCATCTTAAATTATACATCAAGATTATTTGCTTGCTTCTTCACTCCTTCCACTTATAGCATCTTATTACGTCACATAACAGTTGGATCCTCCTCACATACGCAGAAGCAAAGCAGATGGAGAACAAAAATGCAAAGAAAAGGTACATCATAAAATGCAACACAAAAAAATTAAATACAGTTCAGAAACTTTTATTAACCTTTACGTGATTGCTTTCCTGTTTCATTACTTCAGGGTGGATACAGAGCTGTTCTCTTGACCCAAGAACACACACCTTTGGTCTACACAGGAAAGGGAGTGAAATAAAAAGTGACAATGAAATGATTTGGTCATTAAATTCTAACTACTGAATTTAAATTTCTCATCACAGAGCACTTGCAAATATTCAAACTGTAATTCTACATAAAGTAAAAACATCAACATTGGCTGCAAAGCTTGAATGTGCAGTTCCACAAGTAGAGTTAACTGATTCAACTGCCCAACAGCGCCAAATGTCATCCACCAAAATCTTAGCCTTCATCACACAGATTGCAACATGAAAATCAACAAACAAGAAAATCTTAACTAATTAAAGCTAGCTTGCTGCACTGACTGCAATCTAACTGGAAATTTCTTAATCTTTATGTCCTTAAGACTATATTTACTCAAAAACAAATGGTACAACATAAGCATTACCTTTAAACTATCATATGCAGAATAATTTACAGTAACATCCTCCTAGAACACAACCTAAACCACTTCATGTTGGTTTTTGGAATGTATATGGTATTATATCTAGCAGTTAAACTAGAAGCTCAGAATGTCATATAAGTGAATGTTTCTGTGTCAGAGAATTCAAGAATTCTCAGTTAGTTTATTACAAACAAAATACAAACATTCAATCCAATGTATTCCAACATGGCAAGGTTTTGAAAGCTCGCAATAATAGAGCAAAATTAATGAAGGCAGATGGGCGTGGAAGGCCACACTGCCAGCAGCATGCCAGAGGAATTTTATAAGCCGCTTGCAGGCCCCTCCCCTCTTGATGGTCCAGCAGATTAGACAATCTGCTCATCACCCATCTTTTGCTCACTAATTGGGCAATTAATAGAAAATTGCTTCTGGATGTCTGTTTTCTGCAGATCAAATCAGAATATGATCCAGGCATTGAGGATCTGACCAAAAAACCCCGACTCATGTTTGCTATATTGGAACTAAATTGAAAATTGCCAATTCAGTAACATCTATTAAAATTGTTTACACAACATTTTCTCACTCTAGTATGTGACTAAAATCTACCCAAAAATATTCATTCATTTCAGTTTAACAGGCATGGTCAATGAAGTTCAAAAAAAGACAGAAGGTTAACTGAGCTGCTCCAAAACAAGTATCGTACCTGTATGCTGTATTCCTTAGCTCATTAATAACTTGTGTGAGTTGTGAATGTGTCCTTGAGGCATAAACGATCTTTGGGATATCACTGTAACTTGCTGAGTGGAGTTAAACAATGTTAATACATCAGTAAAACATAAAAAGTGAGTCACTGAGTAATGTAACAAACAAATTAGCACTGAGGTTTAAGCACCAATTAAACCAGAACTTGTAAAACTTCAAAACACAATCAGGGCAAACAGACCAGTCAGGTATTTTTTTGCTGCCTTAATAATAGAATCATTGTATGAATACGATCTTGAGATAATGTAAAACAATTCCAGATTTGCAATGAAGGCACAAAAGGAGCTGTTAACTGCAGTTCTAATACATTTATTAGAAGCTTAGCTTCGCAGAGCATGAGTGCCACTTAAATATTGGATGCACACAACAAACTGCGGTAAAATGTGAAGGAAATTATAACAAGAATTGTTACCATTCCAGCTTGAGACTTCTGTCAAAAATTGAGGGACACTTGATGTACTGGTTTCAAAGAAGGGAGCAGTAAACAAAGACATATGCCTCAAATAGGAACTTGATGTGCAAGGTGAATGAAATAGTAACCAAGCAAAATGGAGCAGCAAGTACCATGTGCTCCTCCAATTCTAGCCTCTTGTTTATCCCTAATTGTTCACTTCCACCGCTGGCAACTGTTCTTTTAGCTGCCAATGATCTGGCATATGCAACTTATTCCCTCTTTAGACAATCTTTTCGTCATACACTTTAATATCTCCTAGTAAGGTTCCTATTAAATGTTATTTGATTAGTGCTCCATAAATCATCTTGGAATGCTTCACTACTTTCAAGCAATGTATAAATGTAAGTGGTTCTTGTTCGCTCTTCAAGGCTAAAGTATTCATGGCTAACATTTCATCACATTTTGATAGCAGGCAAGACACTTTAACACAATGGCTTCCAAAATTGGACAAAGATACTTTGAAAGTGACACAAGATCCAAATTTTGTATAAAAAGTTAAAAGACCTACGTACATATAATCTAAAAGATATTAGAAAAATTGCCTAAAATAAGTAATACTTAGTCAACATTGAATAAACTAACCTCAAACTCGTTTCACATTCAGAAACAATTTCCAGATCAACTAAATAAAAGCAAAATACCGCTGATGCTGGAGGTCTGAAATAAAAACAAAGTGCTGGAGAATCTAAGACAACAAGGTGCAGACCTGGATGAACACAGCAGGCCAAGCAGCATCAGAGGAGCAGAAAGGCTGACGATTCAGGCCTAGACCCTTCATCAGAAATGGAGAAAATGTCAGCCTTTATGCTCATCTGATGCTGCTTGGCCTGCTGTGTTCATCCAGCTCTGCACCTTGTTGTCTCGGATTCTCCAGCATCTGCAGTTCCTACTATCTCTGCTGGAGAATCTAAGCAGGTCCGGCAGCAAAAAAAAAAAATTCTATGGACAAAAAAAGAGAGTTAACGTTTTGAGTCCAATGATTCCTCCTTGGAACTGAAGAGAGAGTTGGAAAAGTCACAGGTTTTAGTGTAAAAGAGGTGGGGAGGAACTAGTGGAACAGAAGTCTCTATCAGGGAAAGGCTAAGGGAGGTTGGAGATCCAAGCTGTCATAGAACACAAGGTAAAGAGAGTGGCAGTGCTTGTAGAGAAGACACCAAGGATCTAGATTGGTGACAGTAAGAAAATAAACATGAGCTCTGACTGAAAGCAAAACCAGGAAAAGCAAGGTACACACCAGGTGAGGGGGGGATATCAAAGTAGTAGACAGATATTGAGTCTAGATAGCTGGAAGGTGCCTAAATAGAAAATGGCGAGCTGAGCTGCATCCATGTCTGTACCTACTTAGTTTCTGCAGCACTTTCGTTTTCATTCCAGACCATACGGTATATCTCTTTATTCAAAGTCATTTCGATGAATTTTGCAGATTTGTTCTAAAAATAGAACAATGCAGATGCAGTGGTGGTAGCACTAAAACTCGTAGCAATGGACTAGATCTAGGAAGAGAAACAAAGCAGTCAGGGTTCTAATCCACGGCCACGCTTCACGAATCTCATCGGGATCCACATTGCTGCTCATTAGGTTCGGTCAAAAGTGGATTATTTGTGTTGCATCCCATTTTATGGTGGTCAAAGCAATCACTGATATTTTGTTAGAAGATAGAGGGTGTCAAGGTCTGCAGAACAGAACCCTAGCATGAATCACTGTTGACAGAAAAACAGACAACTGACGGAATTAGGAAACTAGATAAAAATTGATTTTACCTGAATCAGCATCTACAGATGCACTGCCCCATGAAGACAGAGATCGACCATCAAAAAGTTCTTCCCCGTTCAATTGACGGGATATTTTGTTTGCTGAAATACTGTCTCTTACATGTTCTCTCCAGGCCAAAGAAGCACACAAAAGACAAAGTGTTTTTCCTGTACCAGTCGGGCTTTCTAGAATCCCATTTACTTTCTGCAACACAAGACAAAAATGTTCCTTTCAGAGTACACTACTTCACTGACAAAAGTACGTCAAGCTAGCCTTCCCGGAGTACATGCTGAAAGGGTATATGTATACAGAGAAAGATTTAGAAAATAGGTGGACTGATAAAGCTTCATACACTGGTCAGTTATGTAAATGTCGCATGGGGGAAATCTCTACTCTTTGCCATTTAAAGCTAAACCAAAACACTTTGATAAAGAACACAATTTATTCAGCAAAAACAATCCATGACTCATATTATAACTAACCAAGTCCTATATAATATACAAAGAACAGTATCAACTGGTACAGTGCCAAATAGAAATCAGCAACGAGTGACAATGGTAACCACTACAGCACTGTTTTAGCCACATGCACTAAGTTTAGTAGATAACACCTTACACTCGAAACAGGTAAATGTACTCGATGTACATATTTGTTTCAGAAATGCCTACCATAATTCATTGCAAAAGACTGCAGTCTCTGTCCCAGGTTTTGACCATTGAAGCTACTAATACTCTCGGGGATCAAACAGTGAATAGAGCAGCAGTCGTCCACTGTCCTGGCGCTGTTGGTCAAGAAAACTGTGACCACATTGTAGTAATTAAGGGTAGTTTGATTTTGTGGCCTTTCACCCATTAGGAATTGGATTTTATCAACAAAATTATCACATTTAAGCCAACAGCACAGCAGGGAATCGAGCTAATAATAATTCATACACAGTCTGATGTGAACAGTTTAGAATACAATTCGAATTTTTCGTTATTATGGCTCATTTGACTGCAGTACGAAGCCATACAACTCATCATGACTCCAGACTGATTCTCAAGCCCCCGCAATAGAGACTGGGGCAGTATAACTGGCATTAGCATAATTGGGTTCAGATGATGAGAGAGAATGGGTGCAAGAGTGCGAAAGACAGTGAAAACAAGAATAGAAGCATCTGTATCACAGGAGGAATGGTAACTTCAATGCAATGCAAATTAGATTGCTACTGCACAACACTATGGAAAAACTGAATATTAACTTAGTAAAAAAAGGATTAGAAATATCTAGCCTTCAATTTCACAAGAAAAGCATTAAAATTATTTCACAATGTTGTTCCTTGCAGTAACACAAATTAATACTGCAGTTTGCTCTGACTATAGATTATAACAACACTGCAGTGCTAGAAATGCTTCTTTTCATTTCACCTTTCATGTTTATAGAGAGCTGCAGTAGATTCCTGGTAGCATTGAATGACTTAATAATTTGGTTTGTGGCAACATTAATGTTTTCAATGTCAGGCATAAAATAGTGACAATAAAGCTGCATTATAAAGGTCATATTACCTTTTGTAAACATTCTATCACCTTAGACATATAATCCTCTTGGCATTTATAAGGAATGTAAGGAAAATCTATCGTTATTCCATCAAGCTGTATTTTAGGCATCTTGGTACCTAAAAGACAAAAAAAATTTAGAAATAATTAGAAGTTGAAAGAGATTCCATGAGTTGACTTTGATAATTTTTGTCAATTTTCCAAAATTTACTAGTACAAAAGCAAAACCCTACAACTGCTAGAAATCTGAAATACAAACAGAAAATACTGACAATATTCAGCAAATCTGGCAGCATCTGTGAAGAGAGGAAGAGAATTATCATTTCAGGCTGATGACCTTTCATTGGGAGGTCAATCATCTCAGCTCCAGGACATCTCTGCAGGAGTTCCTCAGGGTAGTGTCCTAGGCCCAACCATCTTCAGCTGCTTCATCAACGACCTTCCCTCCATCATAAGGTCAGAAGTGGGGATGTTCGCCAATGATTACACAATGTACTGCACCCTTCGCGACTCCTCAGATACTGAAGCAGTCAGTGTTCAAATGCAACAAGATCTGGACAATATCCAGGCTTGGGCTGACAAGTGGCAATTAACATTCATGCAACACAAATGCCAGGCTATGACCATCACCAATAAGAGACAATCTAACCACCATCCCTTTACATTCAATGGTGTTACCATCACCGAATCCCCCATTATCAACATCCTGGGGGCTACCATTGACCAGAAACTCAACTGGACTCACCACATTAACAGAGTGGCTACAACAGCAGGCCAGAAACTGGGAATACAGCGGCAAGTAACTCATCTCCTGACTCCTCAAAACCTGTCCACCATCTACAAGGTACAAGTCAGGAGTGTGTTGGGGTACTCCCCACTTTCCTGGATGAGTGCAGCCCCAACAACACTCAAGCTTGACACCATCCAGGACAAAGCAGCTCGCTTGATTGGGACTACATCCACAAGCATTCACTCCCTCCACCACCGACGCTCAGTAGCAGCAGCGTGTACTATCTACAAGATGCACTGCAGAAATTCACCAAAGATCCTCAGACAGCACTTTCCAAACTCACGACCACGTCCATCTAGAAGGACAAGGGCAGCAGATATATGGGAACACCACCACCTCCGAGTTCCCCCCAAGTCACTCACCATCCTGACTTAGAAATATATCGCCGTTCCTTCACTGTCTCTGCGTCAAAATCCTGGAATTCCCTCCCTAATAGCATTGTGGGTCAACCCACAGCAGGAGGAATGCAGTGGTTCAAGAAGGCAGCTCACCATCACCTTCTCAAGGGCAACTAGGGATGGGCAAGAAATGCTGACCAGCCAGCAATGCCCAAATCCCACAAAATGAATTAAAAAAAAACAAACAGTCTGTTCAACTCTGCTTTTCTCTCCATCAATGCTACCTGATCTGCTGCATATTTCAAGCATTTCCTGTCTTTAATCCACAACTTCCGGACTGATCATCACGTTCAAGATTTTTCTCCTTCACAACCTAAATATCCAGTACTGCCCATTTGACCTTCTGCCTACGAATTAACAGAAAAAGCCTAAAAAGACTGAAGTCCAACAAAAAAAAATGGAGAATGAGTAAAATGCAACACTCAATGCTGCTCTTCTTCATTTCTACTGTATTCTAATACAACACGTCCACGACTTATCCACTTACAATTTTTATATATGATTAGATATCTTTCATTGAAAGCTTCTTGAAGCAAGAGTGAAATATTTCAGACTGTCACTTTCAAAATATACAACCATCTTGGGAAAACCATTGACCAGAAACTCAATTGGAACTATCAAATACAGCAGCCACAAGAACAGGTAAGAGGCAAGGAATTTTGTGATGAGTAACTTGCCTCCTGTCTTCCTAGCACCTGTCAGCTATCGACAAGGCACAAATAAGTGTGATAGCGTTACTCTCCACTTGACTCAGTCTGGCTTCAAAACACTGAAGATACTTCACACCATCTAGGACAAAGCACCCTGGTTGACTGGCACCCCATTCAACATTCACTCCCTACACACTGACACCAAGTTGTACCATCTATTAAATACATTGCAGCAACTCACCGAGGCTTCTTCAACAGCACATTCCAAACCTACAACCTTTACCATCCTTAGGATTAAGGGCAGGAGATGATTGGGAACAATACAATCTGCAAGTTCTCCTCCAAGCCACACACCGTTTGGACTAGGATGTATAATCACCACTAACTCACTATCACTGGGTCAAAATCCTGGAATTCCCTCTCTAACAGGTTTTTCTACAAGCCTTCAATGGTTCAACGGGAGGCGGTGGCATGGTGGTAAGGTCATTGGAGTAGTGATCCAGAACCCCGGTTAATGCACTTTGGTTCAAATCCCACCATGGACTGTATTGAATTACACATGGCCTATAGACTACACAACCGTTATCAATTGTTGTAAAGATCCATTTGATTCATTAATGGCCTCCATAGAAGGAAATCAGCTGTCCTTGCCTGGTCTGGATTACATGCAACTCCAAAGTGACTGTTAACTGCCCTCTGGCCAATAAATGCTGGCCTAGTCAACAACTACAGAAATGCAGTTCATCACTACCTTTTGAAGGGCAATTAGGGATCGGTAATAAATGGTGACCTAGCCAGCAATGCCCATAGCACAAGATCAATTTAAAAAACACCAATGTACTGTATAACACACTACACCTGAAAATGATATTTAAACTCACAGCAAAACCTACATTCATTAATCAATTTGTATGTTGGGGATTCCTATAGCTCCACACACTGGAAGGTCAAACTTACTGGCAACCTTCTCAATAGGATCCTGGTCATCTGCTCACAGTATAAGTGTGATGACAAGATTGGGCGTATCAAAACTATTCTGCATTATAGTGGCTACCCTGATCATTTGCTCTGTATTGTCCAAAGTCAATAAAGGGCATAATTCCATTACTTTCACCCCTGAACAGTGTCAGTCTACTTGAAATTACTCTGGAACAGGAAGGTGTCTCAGAAATCTATGCGACAGGTGAAGTTAGCTATATTACATTGCTGCTTTGTAGTAAACACTTGAGCGGCATTCTCAATGAACAAGATGCTGCTGTCAGTCAGAAAACATTTTGCTTACCACACAAATGAATAATGTGATTAGAATTTCAGTGCTGGTTTGATGCCAGGTAGGTAGGCTGTATGTCTCAATGACTGGTGGCCTACATTGAACAACACATCCTTTTGGTCGCCTGTAATAGACAGCATGCTGATCCTGTTCAACTAGCCATTACAATCCCAACATTAGATCTTGCTTTTGGACAACATTTGTTAAATAATCCCGAATATGCTAAAAGATACACCAGAAAACAACTTAAGATTATCAGTTGGATTTGCAGTGTGATTAATTTTAGAAGCCACACATCAATACACAAGACCCTGATTGTTGCAGGCAAAAAGGAATTTGTCCATATATTGTGCCCTTTTTATGGAGGGCAGGGTCATGAAAAATTCCAATCCCGGTGATATTCTTCCTTAGCAATGCCCTGACCAATGAAAGTCTACCTGCCTGGCCTGAAATTTTTCAGCTAACTAAAGTTCATATTTAATACTGCCTGTCATGCCAACCATGGCCGAACCAATCAACACCCTCTACTGTTGTTCTCTTTTCAAGTTTGGTTTCTTGCCTGTCAATCATGACAAGTGCAAGACAAAACGTTTTGACTTTGCTTAAAAGAAACACCATGTGCAAATTCTACAAAATCTTTTCCATTGACTAAGTACACAGGAAATGTTAGGGATTGTCAGTGCTGGACAATAATGATGAGATAAAAAGTCTCAGATTATAAGTTTTGAAAATCAAGCTTATTTAATAACATTTTTAAAAAATCAAATGATAACTACTAAATTTAGCTTAAAATCTCAACTTCAAAATATTACTTTTCATGTCCTGGATACCATCTTAATTTAGATCCAAGAACTGAGGCCACCACAAGCAGGGATGAGGACGGAATCAGTAATTTAACAGCATGATTGTAACCCACTGAAATTACAGGCAACTGTAACAATGGTCACACTCAAATTTCCTTCATGGCAAGTGCAACATTTGTAAATTTCATGTGCTCATAACGATGGACAGTCAAATCACCAGGAATACCACCAGTGGAAATGTGAAATCCCAAGACCAGCATAAACGTGGCAATAAATGACCAAATGTCATTTTCAGGGTAAGCGTGTCCCTTCAGTCTCCAGTCTGTGCGTTGAAATGACACGTACCTTCCAGCAACAGGCCAGTCGTGAGGTTCCCAAAGAAAAGCACAACCTTTTGAGATTCATTAGTTGTGTGACCGCGGGAGGAGGGGCAAAAATGGGGTTGCACTGGATAATTGGCTCAAGTCGTCTACAATCATCTAAAATAATTCACAATTTGCATTAAAAATATTAAAGGAATCAACGGTTTGCATCAGGCAATTTAAATAACCCATAAAAATGGGATTTCTGATGTTGGGTGATGAGTTAGTTTGAATTAAGCACTGGAAGCTCAGTGAGGAGTTGCTGGTGGATCTCGGTGATGAGGGATGATTTTCCTATTGTTAGTTTGAAACCGGATTTTATTGCATTCACCCACTTGCAGGGATCTCTAGTTGATAGCAGCGCTTTGCTGCTCGAAAGGCCCAGGCCGGGCACCGAACCGCGGGATCCCCGGAGGCGCTTCCCCCGCTGATGCTGCCGCCGGCCTGAGATGTGCCTGGGTTCGGCTAGTCCTGCCCCGGCCGCTGCTGCTGTTCACTCACATGTGGCGCTTCTCGGCCTCAGCTTCACTGAACAAGGCGGGGGGGAGGTGTGGGAGGGACTAGGCTTTCAGGAACTTGTCCTCTGAGTTCGCTCAGTGCCGGGTTTTCAAACTGTCCCTTAGAAATGGTTCAATTCTCATTGGGGAAAAAAAACAAAGGAAAACACCACCACATCCGAATTATCACTAATAATATCAAAGCGCTGCTGCATTTCTATGACGCCTCTGACAAAGCGGGCGTTTACTTGCAGCAACAATCTTTATTGATGTAGCGCCTCTAACGTTACAGCACAGCTGCACGTACTCCCCGGGTTTGTCGTAGCTGCTCTATTCGTTCATAGCGTGAGGTTGTCCTTGACTAAGCCAGCATTTATTTCCCTTCTCTGACTGTCAGAAGTCACCCCACCAGGTGAAGTCCTTCACCTGATGATGGGGCAGCGCTTCGAAAGCTTGTGATTTTAAATAAACCTGTTGGACTATAACCCAGTGTTGTGTGACTTCTGACTTTGTCCACCCCTGTCCAACACCAGCATCTCCACATCATGGCTTCCCTAATTAAGAGGGCAGTTAAGAGTCAGCCACATTGCTATGGGTTTGCAGGTGAGAACACCACCACCAAGTTCCCCTCCAAGCCACTCACCATCCCGACTTGGAAATATATTGCCGTTTCTTCATTGTCGTTGGGTCAAAATCCTGGAATTCTTTCCCTAAGAGCATTGTGGTCAACCCACAGCAGGAGGACTGCAGCAATTCAAGAAGGCAGCTCATCACCACCTTCTCAAGGGCAGCTAGGAACAGGCAATAAATGCTGTCCAGCCAGCGACACCCACATCCCACAAATGAACAAAATAAAGTCACATGTAGGCCAGAGCAGGTAAAGATGACAAATTTTGTTCCCTAAAGTTCATTGGTGAACTAGACATGTTTTTTACGACAATCAATGGGTTTAGATGGCCACCAGTAGATTAGCAATTTATTCCAGATTATTTTACTCCACTCAAGATATACAACAAGGAACAGAAATGATATAAAATGCAGATATGAATGCTCTACAATGATGAAGTAAAATCACTTTCCTTTAAATGAATTGTTGTATTATGCAAAAGGGCACAAAGAAACCTTGTACTATTAAGAAACCAGCAGTTAAATGAAAATACATTTCCACCCTATTTTGGCAGTTGGTTCATGAAAAAGTGGTTGCTGTAGATGCAATGGGAAAGGCATCATTAAACACTATGAAATATCTATGGGTGGCAAATTCATTTCCAGTGAGTGATTAGACGGTGTCCCGACCCGAAACGTCAATTTTCCTCCTCCTCTGATGCTGCCTGGCCTGCTGTGTTCCTTCAGCTCTACACTGTGTTATCTCTGACACCAGCATCGGCAGTTCTTACTATCTCTGAATGCCTTTTTGATAATTGTTTCTGCCTGGGGGTCATCTTGCAGCAGATGGTACACATCTGTGTCTTTACCCTTTCTTGCTCAGCCTCAGCCTAATTCTGAAGCCCTATTCCCCAAATGATGCCAAAGTACTTTGTATGCTTTGTGCTTACAGATCTGATCTTTATTTGCGTCTTCAGTGTTAGCTTCCCTCCTTCAGTGCCATCTGCAATTCCTCCTGCACACCCATTGACAGATGGTAGCTGAAGTAGCTCATGATACTGCAAACAATTTTCCCATCCTAATGTTATTTAAATAGTCGGCGACCATTTAGCTATTTTTGAAATAAAGATGCGTTTGCAGTGTTGCCTTTTGCAGTGCTGCTATAACAGCTATATACTTTGATGTTATATACTGCTATAACCTGTTGTTATATACTGCATGTATCCTGCTATATACTTTGATGCTTTTTTTGACACTATGTCTACAGAATGGATATTGAGAAGAATAACTACTTTTAAGTAATGGGTTTTAATATAAACTATTCAACCTTTTTTTAAGAAAGACACAGAGATAATGTAGTTGACATGCTAATAAGCTAAATGTTGATGTTGTTTCTTCAAAGTCTGTAAGCAATAAGCAATTTGCCAGCCTCTCTCAAAGTCATTTCAAACATCATACTCATTGTGTTGGTGAATCTCTGGTTTTAGCTGTGGGGCAGTGCCTACCATTTCACTGTGAACAGAAAGTTATATAAAAAGAGGTGGCTAAACAGCGTATGATGTCTCAAATTGACACAAGAGGCACAAATATCTGGATTAAAGAGACAGAAAATCACCTAAAGATGCAACGCTGCACTATAAACCTATTGGGTGTTGAAAAGAGACCAAGGCCTACAGTGGTAAGTTAGTGAGAGTTTAACTGAAAGGAGAAGAGGCATTTATCAGGTCTCTATTATTGTTACTGTGCTTAATGGTTTTACCATCATATTCCAGAGCCTCATGCCACTTTCCACCAAATACTCCAGGAATGAACAGGTGGAAATAGGATGGAGAAAGGAAGGTTTACAATGTTTTATATGTCATGTGTAGAATAGATGGCCAGCAGTAATTATGGTGAAGATAGGCAAAGGAAAATTTAGTTTCATTGGCCTCGCTGACACATTTTTACATGATACCCGAAATCCTATCTGATTTCAGTTGGGGTTTGTAAGAGAAAAATTAAGCATACCATTTGCTGAGCCAGACTTCTCTTTTCAATAGTCTACCGCACCACATTTAATTTTTAAGGTTCTCTTAAAAGATCTAAAAATTACTTGAAAGGGGAAGTATTTAAGATGGTATCAGAACTATTAATGTGAGAAGATGTTAGGAATATGATTTATGACAACTAAGGGTTGGATTAGCAGTTAAAATCATAGAATCCCTACAGTGTGGAAACAGGCCCTTTGGCCCAGCAAGTCCACACCGACCCTTGGAGCAACCCACCCAGACCCATCCCCCTATAACCCACCTAATCTACAGACCCCTGAACACTATGGGCAATTTAGCTTAGCCAATCCACCTAACCTGCACATCATTGGACTGTGGGAAGAAACCAGAGCACCTGGAGGAAACCCACATAGACATGGGGAGAATGTGCAAACTCCACACAGACAGTCGCCTGAGGGTGGATTTGAACCTGGGTCCCTGGCACTGTGAGCCACCATGCCACCCCTAAAGTTGTGGTACAGAAACAAAGTGAAAGTAAAAAGGTGTATTTTAACACTCACTTGCTTGGATTGAGTGTGGAATGAGGGGGAATGCTTGAATGCTTATAGTAAATTCAAATATGGTACATCCATTGATTTCTCTTGATTTAATGTATGTACTTTATTTATTTTTTAGAATTATGTAATTCAACATTGGTTAACACTTTCATTGAAATGTGTGACACATTTGGGTACACTGGAGCTGGAAAGCATGGCACCATGATAAGGAGTTTCACCAGTATCTGCATTCCCATTGGCTGTGACATCGTTCATATGAGCTTGGTTGTAAATTTCCAACACGTGTCATAATCATTCATTTACAGAAAGACGGGAAAGAATATATTAAATAATTCCTAAATGACAGGAAATTAACTACAATCATGAATCTACACCCACAAATATGTGGAACTTACATAAATTAGGATAAACCTTTCTCATGCGTTTGTTCTGATACCTAATTCAGACTGGAAGTTCAACCTGTGAATCAACTTGCCCATTCTGGACACAGAAGCTGCCTGAACTTCCTAGTGTCTCCAGAATTTTTTGATTCCGTTTCCCACTTCGTTTAAGTATTTCTAAATGTGCTTGATGGTTAAACCAATAGTCTTTTCATTAGCAGTGTGTCTTAATGCCCCAACGAATGTTGTCAAGTCTCATGCATTGCATACATTTCAGTAGTTTCTATTCTGTGTTGCTGAAAAATGACGGATTGTGTCATAGTTATTCATCAAGCGATCATCAGGACAATTCGCAAAAATACCATTTTAGGGAAAAACCAACATTTATACTGCATGAGAGGGGAGTGCTGATGGGTGGGTAAGTGGACTCTGATTGGTAAGGGCATTGTCATGGAGAATGCACCAGTTAACTGCCAGGCTTCCTTTCAATTTTCCTTTCAAACCAGGCAGGCAGACTCTAACAGGTCAAGATGTTGTCCTGAGAAATGTACCAGTGAATGGCTGTCACTTATTTTGTTGAGTTGAAGCGGGCACAGTGTGTGTACATATTCTTTCTCTCTGCAAAGAACAGGGCATTTTATATTAACCTATGAAGCTTACAGTACTACAAGTGTACTACACAGCAAGCCTGACAGGCAATTCTAAATTGGTTGTTAGTGTAATACTTCACATCCTCCAGGTTATCTAGCAAATGCTGTCAAATTGCAGAATGTGATCTAATATTGAACAGTGTACTGTGAGTTTTGCAAATGCGGGCTGTTTGGGTGCTGACAGTGACTTCCTTGTTATGAACAGTTGGAGGGATATGCTGCCTGATACAATTCGCCAGTCTTTGGCATGTACGATGTACGTACTTGGCATCACACCAGCAATGAAATTCATGTACCACATTACATATTTGTATGAAAGGCAGAACATCTTTTTGGCTTGGTGGCAGCATTCTGTTAGTGGCAAA